AACATACTAATTATTTTGAAAAAATAATGTACCTATTACTTGTTTGTTTTATGAAAAATATAATTTACCTAGTATGAAAAGTGTACATAATTCTCTATTCCAATATACCTACATTATACGACATCCAATATACCTATTATTTGTTTTATTAAAAGTAATTTTTTTAAATGAACCTATTTTCTCTCTCCAAATAACTTACATATACACATTTACAAGTATATTGTAAAATAATTTACCTGTGGGTCAATTTGCAATTTTAGGGGGCGAGATGTGAGAGGGAATGACAACTAAAAGAAATGGGGTGATTGATATGCTATTAATAGGGAGTATATTAATTACAATTATGGCAGTTAATGAAATGCTTGAAATAAATTATAAATAAAATATGAAGTTTAGTGGCAACGATGTAAAACCATAGAAATACTACGACCTCTTATATCATACTGGTCATTTAAATTTGAAATTGGGTTTTACACATAGATTTATAGAGTAATGGGTATATGTCTAGGAAATAGAAAATGTAGGAATCTATATTGGACAAGCCCAAAAAATTATACATGCTCAGAGAGAAAGAGAAGGGAGGTCATATGCGGGGTAGGTGAGGGAGAAAGGGAGAAAGGTCTCCTTTTTTCTCTCTTTTTTTCCTTGAAAATGAAAACACTAAAATAGCCTTAAAAATAGATGAAAAATTGGATGTTGTTAAAGTTGGATGACAAATTATGAATTTTGAAAAATTAAGATGACATTTCTTTTAAATTTTTCTTTAAGGTGACAAATTGAGACTGAGGTATAAGTTCAAGTGACATTTCTACAAAAAAAAACTCTACTCCAAAAAGAAAGAGTGATACTATTTCCACCCTGTCCTATTTCCCCACCCACCATTATTCCTAAAATATTATTTAATTATTAATTCAAGCTGAGAACATTACATTTCCAACAATGAAAATCACTCTTCATAAACATGCTTCAATTACTATAAGACTTCTTGTAGTAATTGAAGCATTCAATTGGCTTTATTTATTTATTTATTCGATCTTCATTTATTAACACAACGTCAAAATTCATTCCACCCATCAAGGTTGCAATATATATATATATATATATATAAATACAAGTGATATTATATTTTAATCTAATTTTAGCTGCGAAGAGGAGGATTTGAACTCGAGTGCAGAGTGGGAAGTACATCCCCTCTAGTTAACTTAACTAAGCCCATGTTTGCATCAAGTTGCACTATAAACAACACCAAAATTTCATGTTTAGTTTCAACTTTTAATCTCACATACTTGTAACAAGTAAAACATTCAATCTACCACAAAATGGTTTTAGTATTAATATTCAATGAAAAACTTCACAAAATAAAATCCTAGTTACTTATAAAGGGATATGCAATCCAATGTTGTTACAATTTTAGTTTCTACTTTGTACATGTGGTTGACATTTTTGTCGATATTTAATATGTTAGGATTTTTGTTTTTTGTCTATCTAATCTACGTTAACATTTAGTATCTTTTGTGGCAGAAAAAAGCATCCTGACGAGAAAAATCATACAACACAAAAAGCTTAGAAATGCAGAGCAGTCGATGCCATTGCTTATACATGTCTGAAATGCATGGGGGGTTATTGTTTCTATATACATACAGGTGGAAGACTCAAGCTAGCCCTTCCAGAACCAACATTCCCTTCCATTGCAACCATAATTGATGTATGATAGATGAATAAAATAAAATTGTTCTATTTTCTGATAAATAAAAATAAAATAAAATGTGCCCGTGTCTTTGTTTGAGTTTCATTTCTGTCCTTCTTAAATTAGAGTACATAGCTTAAATGTTTAAAAGTATTTTTTTACACATTTTAGGTCATACGTTCGAGTCCTCATTCACTTAGTATCGCTGATTTAATTTATCATTTTGTATCAAAATTTTAAAAAATAAAATGAAATAAAACAAAAGGTCTTTCTGATGAGTCTCTCTGCGCTCTGAGTCTCTCTGGTCGTAATAGTCACAACTTGCCGCACGCGCGTCGAGGCGGATTCGATACGATCCCAACCACGTGACCCTTGGTGGAAGGACCATTTTTTCTTTTTGGTGAGCCCCCCAGCGGTCCATGGCATGGCATCAATCGAACGGAGAAAATGAGGCCCACATGTACTGGCGGCTGTCTGTCCGGTTCAGATTGCGCCACGTTGTACTAGAGTTTGAGACCATTCACAGCTAAAACCAGCTATAGAAAGGAGAAGAGCCTAAACGACAGCAAAAATAGAAAGCGACGGATCATGTGGGCGTGGAGATTCGTGACGACCCCCCCACCTCTCTGCCCCCGTTGGGATTCTGTCGGTGTTAGACTTTTTATTATTAGTCTCCCTTTCCCTTTCATTGATGACATGTCGTTCCTTCCCTTCTCTTCATTCTCTTCCTTCCTTCTTAGACTGACAAAATCATTATGCTCATCATCACCATCCATCTATCCATCCATCAATCAAAAACTCCTCCTTAATTGTGCCTTAATTTCCTCATCATGATGCTCTCATTTCCCTCATCATGATGCTCTCATTTCCCTCATAATTTCTATGTTTGTTCTTACAATATTATTATAATAATTTTTTTACACAACGAGAGGGGAATTTGAAGACGAATATTAAAGAGGGGAATTTGAACACGGGAATTCGAATGCAAGAATAAATAATTTTGATCATTTAAACTACAAACTCATTGCCTTATTATTATTATTATTATTATTATTATTATTATTATTATTATTATTATTATTATTATTCAGGCTAGATGTTCAGTTGATTCCGAAAAAGGCAAATGTTCCCCATAGTGACATTACCTACTCATAGCATTATATGAAAACAACTTTCAACTTCAAGAGCGCACACGCACACACTCACACCTACACCTGTCACTGTAATTACCTAAGGCCTGATGTTCAAGCTGAATTGCCAACCCTATCCAAATGCGCAGTGTCACAAAAGCACTTGTTTAATCAAATTGCAACACACAGGTCAATCTTGGCAGCTTATTCATCTATTGGAGCCCTAGCCCACAAAATAAAACAAACAAAAGAAAGGCACTTGCTACAATATTTGTGCCATGAGTTTTTCTGTCTTGTTCATATTCATAGGAACACTAGGTGTCTAGGTGTAAAAATGCAAGCTTTTTATAGCAAAAATTGGAGAACTGAAACCCTGATGAAAGACATGCTTTTTATGCTTTTAAGGGTTCTTCTCTAATTGAGAGATTAGATAGATCATTCAATTTGTGACTGCTTAGATCCTAGTGTCATCACACTGTAACTAGCCCTTATAATATGAATTGCCAAAAAGGCATACCAGGTTTGAGATTCTGCAGTAGCTGGTAGAATAGGTCATATATGTATTTATCATACCTTTAGAGACTAAAGGATGAAGCTGGGGAAATGTATGTAGATTGGAACTGTACAAGTCAGAAATCTGATTTACAAGTCCCAGGCCGGATTCAAGATCAACAAAGGGATTGACCTGAAGCTTTGCATTGCAGTTTCAGAGCACAATTTACAGCTAACCAAAAGGCATCCTAATATAGACAGGCATTAGACAGAGTGACAGACAGCACCTAGTTCACCTAATGAGACACTCATGAACATGACTTTATCAAACCCAGGTTGTAAAGGAACTTCTCCGATCTAGTCCGAAAGAGATTCCCCAAAGAGAATCTCACACTCTCCTGTGGTGGAGATTTTGAATTGAAGTCTTCTTTCACACGCAGTATTGTTGAACCAATCTCTTGCCGAACTGCTTCAATTGTCTCACTCTTCACTTGATTTCCTGATGCATCTATCACATAGAAAACATTCACGGCTTGGGAACCCCTGGTTGTAACCTCAGCTCGGGTGACTGAAAGACCATTTTCTCTAAATATGCGAGTCACATCAGAAAGAAGGCCAACTCTATCTTCACCACAAAGCTCTAGTCTTATACCCTGCATTAGAAATGATGCTTTGACTTCAAAATGCTATGTGAAATCGGGAAAAAGATATACAAAATTAAAATTACTGTATGTTTGTACCTCAGACGTCCGCCTTCTAATCGCCGCTTCCAAGCAATGGATAACCCTCAGCCTTTCTCCTTCAGAACTAATAGGACAGCCATCCGTGTGTCTGATATAATATTCCTATTAAAAAAAGATTAAATGTTAACTAAAATAAGGTATTTGTGTTGATTGCGATATGCATCTTAAAGCTAAAATAAGCAATTTCGAGCAACTTCAGGGAAATAAAGACAACCTGATAAGCCTCAGGTCCTTCAGCAATCACAGTTGCATGGTATACCACATATTGCATATCTGTTAAGGTGCATACAGTATCAAAGAGCAGCTTAGGACGGTCTGGGCACCTTAAGTTCACAACAGTATATCCTTTATCTACACAATTTTCAACAGTTACAAGAGGTTTGCTTCGATCACTGGCTGATCCACAATCAGCACCATCCATATCATAATCACGATCAGCATACATCATCTGGTGAAGCCTCCTTTCCTTATGTGTGGAATCCACAGAAACAGCAGTGTTGGCACTGCGCTTATCTCTGTCCCCCTTAAGCACATAAAGGAGAAGTTTTTTTATTTTGGAAAGATGGTCAGGATCATCAATAGGCCTCCCAGTTGCCTCGTCGGTGATGAAAACAACTGATGCCATTCTTGAATTGTGAGTCCAGACTTCTGCGGTGACCACATTGCATTTGAGATCAGAAAGAACAGCAAAAATTTCAGACAGCAAGCCTGGCCTGTCCCTTCCTGTCAATTCAATAGTGGTGTGTTCTGCGGCAGCTTGGACACCCACAGACCTTCTCAAGGAACGGAAGCTCCGTGCTCTTGGTCCTAGTGACTGCAAAATTTGAATTCAATAATCAATATGAATTAAAATTTACAAGATTCACAGATAATGTTGCTAATTATTTCTATTACAAACCAAATAGAGAAGACTGTCTAGTAAGGTTCTAGACAGTCTTCGCTCTTGGGGTGGAGAAAGAGAGATATCCTCTTGAATAGATCTTGCCACAATGTGCACCATGTTTTATAAAGTGAATATATACAAATCGTGACTAATACTGAAATTCAGTTAATATATGAGCAGGTCAAGAAGCACACATAGAACCATACGAAAACTGAATGAAGTAAACCTCCAAATGCAGTAAGACTCAAACTATTGCTTCCACAATACAGATAGAAAACACATCAATCAATCAAGTTTGCGGAAAGTTCCACCTATTAAAAGTCAGTCTAAACCCCATTCTCAATTTCGATATTAGAAGAAAGAAAGAGGGCTATTAGTTTTGGGGATTGACCTGTTGAATGCGTTCAGCTATTCCATCATCAGAGAGCTTATTCCCCTGTTGATCAGTGACATGAAATACTACAAAAAGAATCATTGAAAATTAGTCATAAAGAATCAAAATTTGAGATTTTTCAGCACTTGGAAATAAAAAGCTCACCATCCATGAACCATTCCCCATCTGACGAAATGTAAGCTCGTCTTATAATGAGATTTAAATCATTCAGAACCTGAACCAACTCCAGCAAACTCCCACGCTTATTTGCACTATCTACCTACAATTTTCTCAACCAAAAAAAAAACAAAATGAAAAAAAAAAGGATAAGGACAAAGAACCAATGTTAAAAAGAATGGCCCTTTTGGATTGCTCGCAAAGATAATTCAAGAAATTCAGTCAGATATACCTTTATCAAAGTGGCTTTCCTGCTTGAGGTATTATCAACGGTAACCCTACAAATCCCATATCAAGAAGAAACCATATCAAAAAACTGTATCATTAAAAACACTCAAAATGGACAATTGCAGCTCAAGAAACAATGAACTTCCAAGAAAATGAGCAAAACCCATTTTGTTCAACGAAAACCAAGAGCAATTCATCCCCAAAAAAACCCCATAAAGGAAACAAACCAAAAATGAAGAGAACGGAGAGTGAATTACCTTGGAGGGTTAATTCTCATCGCGAGCTTCTCAAACTCATCGTCAACAGCGAGAGAAGAGGAAGACCAATCCATTAGAAACAATGAAAAGAGAGGTTGGGATTCCAGAAGGGCAAAAATAAAAAGCAAAACTTGAGCTCTGTGTTTGAGACAGGGCTTTCTAGTTTGCTCTCTCTGAGAGTCTCTCGCAGTTTCCGCGTTGCTTCGAAAATGAAATGAGACGAGGCTCTGTGGCTGTGTTAAGTGTTGGTTGGGTGGTGGTGGCTCTTGAGCTGGCGAAGAGTTTTGGAGGGACATAACAACAAAATATTAACAAAATCATATTCAATAATCAAAAAATATATTTAAAAAAAGAGGGCATGCGACTATTATGTCACTGCCAAGTGGGACCCATCTCACCTCCTAAAAAACTTGGTCTTCCAGGTTTCTGTTTGTGTTTTTCTCTCACAATCATAGGGACAAGGCGGCTCTATTTTCTTAATTTTCTCTTTTTTTTTTTTTTTTTTTTGACAAGTGCGATATTTTAAACTAAAACAGGTTCGAATTCAAGTGCAACGAGTCTGTGTACACTTCTTTAACCAACTGGTATAATTCACGTTTTAGGCTCCTGTGTTTTTAGGGATCTTTAATATCGTAGGGATTATTAATTAATCTAGTACCTTATCCTTTTATCTATGCAAGTTGGTCTTCCCAGGAGGGATAAGGTGCCCTCAAATCTTACAGACAAAAGGCACACACGACACATCGGCTTTTTTTCTCTTCTCTCTCTCTCTCTCTCTCTCTCTCTCTCTCTATATATATATATATATATATAAAAAATCATATGGAAATCTAGTACGATTATGCTGCGCTTTACAGCTTTAGAGACCCCTCCTCCGATTTGGGGAAGCCCCTCTTATCTCATAATTATTCGAAATCTAGAGGGATTTTGTTGGGCTTTTTGGCCACTGATCGCTCTTGGATTTTCTTTTCATTTTGAATATAGAAGGATTTAACCACAAGCATCCCTTTATTTTAAGGAAACATCTGAACATGTCTGATTTCCTCTCCTTCATTCAATTATTGCCCCAAAGTTTATGATCCCTCGAAACAATAATAAAATAAATAAAGGCCTTTCCATATGTAGTAGGGCTATCCTCAGCTGGGGGGATCCCCTTTTGTCCCTCTATTTTGCCACTAAGCATCTGCCTTTTTTTTTTTCCGATATGATTTGCTTGGCTACTTTCGGACCTAACCTCAGTATCCTATCTGCCCCTCACTCTGGAGGAAAATTTAAGTTGTATCTCTCTCACATCACATGGCATTAAAATATGTCATGTTACATAATTATACACTAATAACATGTAACATCTTTTAATTGGATTTATTAAATATTTATTATATACAGAAAGAGCACGCATAAGAACTCTTTTTTTTTTTGGCTCCAAGGATATATCCTAAAATGCCTCTCATTTATTTTTCTTCCTATTTTTACAACGCACACTATCAACGACAACGTTTGTATGACAAAAGCCATCAGGACAAGAGTCCAGATGAATAGCACCCAAGTGTTTGGACTTGCCATATAGTAAGACTCCTTTTGGTAAGATTCCTGGCTCTGCCACTAGACACCATAAGCCTATATCTTTATTATATCGAGAAATAGCACACATGCCTTTTATTTAATTTTCTTCTTATTTTTACAATGGCTACTATCACCGACATCACTTACGTGAGAAAAGCAAACACTAGGGCATAGTCAAGATGGATAGCACTCTAAGTGTTGGCAAATGTCAAAGTATTAGTCAAGATGGCTTGAATGTTGTGGAGGTCAACATTAGGTTTCGGTGTTGTGATTTTTTAGTTAGAAATTAATTATTTTTTAAATGCAACTCTTCTCTAATTCTTTGAACTGATTTTATGTAGGATCATATTGTGATTAAAAGTCTTTCTTGGGTAAATGGAGTGTAAGTAAGCTCCTCTCATAGTATTAGTAGGGTGAGAGTCTCTTGCACTTGGGGTACCGCGAGTTCCACCCTAGGCAGAAACTCTACCTAAGAATCTCTCCCGACTAAATCATCAAACAAGAACTACACAAGTAAAATTTTCTATTAAAGAATGGGTTGTTGTTGTGAGCCAGAGATCGGGTATAAAAGAGAAATAAATTTCTATGAATCTAATAAGGAATATGGAGGGCGTCTGCCTCAGCCCACACCTTTGGTATTGAATTTGTATATAAATGACATTGATATGAGAAGAGAGGGAAGGAGGGAGGGAGGGACGGAGGGATCTAACTTATAAGATACAAAAGTTTTTTAGGTTTTAGACATAAGAAAAATTTCACTTTTGGAAAAAGCCAAAGCTTTTTCAAAAAAGACAAAAAAACCACTCAACTTTCAAATCAAAGACATGCAAATGTATTAGATTCCTTAGAAAATCTAAAAATAAATAAGGGCATTTTTGTCCATTTTTGCTTCTTTTAAAATTTTTCTCTCTCCTTTTGCTTTTTCCAAAATGTCCCAAGATACAATACAATACAACACAACATGTCTCGTGAAATCAGAAAACAGACAATGCTTGCCAAACTTGTTCTCGTTCTCTGCCACCCTACCGTTGGATCAGATTCTACCCTGGACAGCTGGACGGCATAAGATCGGTAGGAGCCTCCAGCAGCCTTAGGAATAAACTGACCATATCTGTAATATTATTATATAGTTGCTTTGCAGAGTTGAGTGCAAAAGATATTAATGGTGTAAGTAAGACTGTAAAGTCAAACAAATGTAACATCACAGGTACACATAAAAGAGGGAGCCTAGGGCCACCCATTGAAACATGCCACTTGCCATAACTACTATTCTGCAGGATCAGCACATGACACACACATGGAAGAAACCCAGCCTGAGAAAAAAGAAAATAAAAAAAAAGGGGGCTTAAAACCATGTGGATCTGCATAAAATATAATGATATTCTTATTTATTAGTTAGAGAGTGGGGGAATTTAAACGTGTAACTTCTTCTAATATTTAAAAAAGAAGTAATACTGTTCACGCGGTTTTAACTTAGTGAAAAAGAATTTTTTTAATTGGATTTCCTTTTCTAACTGGATTTTATTCCAAAGATGTAGGCCAATGATTTTAGGTTCGAATCCATGGTACCTTATTACTGTATGTGAGAAACTGTCCTCCTATTTATAATTTAGACTATCACTCGTATTACTTCTAATTGAGAGGAACCAGAAAATCATAGGGCAACATATCCGTACCAGGAAGTAAAGATTGTAAGGCTTTTAGGTCCACCTGCCATGGCAACATGCCATGTGATTGGGCTTTTCTTTTTTCCTTTTCCAACAGATGAACAAGGAGTATGGGATTGACAATATTGTAAGTGAAAAAATGGATCATTGATGGTGTTTGTTTCACAGAATGACACTCAGACCACAAATGCATTATTGAGGTGCTGAGAAATCATGTGTTTAAAATGGGGTAGCAGCAGCACCCAAAAAAAAAAGAAAAAAAAAGAAAGATAATTACCACAATACCATGCTCACACAAACTTCGTTGAAATTTGAGGTTCAAATTATTTGAATAATCAAAGATGAATAAAAAAGTATATTAAAGTCAAATTCGGGGTTTATGTAAGTACCTGAGGCCAAGTGTAATTATATAATATTACCTGGACTTATTAATCATGTGTCTTTTTCAAGTGGATTTAGCAAATGGTTGATGGGTTTAGTGAAGTTAAGTGCTGGCATCTTCATCACATGAACTTGCATCACAAAGCAGCTCATCCAATTCCACTGGCCCGGGGGGAGGTTGTGCAAATCTACTCACATCAGACCAGATCTCAAGTGGCAATTCCACTTGCACATCTTCATAAGCCCAGGACTCCGGGCGGGTGCTTACCAACAATAAAACAAAGAATTTAGAATTTTTTTTTTCCGCATTCGTCTAAGTTCACTCTGCATTCTAAGTACATTTCTCGTTTTAATTTAATTCTCATTATTTCTAAGAAAACCCAGCATGTAACACTACAATACTCACATCCATTAGCTGATTAGCCGACTAATATGTATTAATTGGATCCACACATTTTCTTTAATGTAATAGATAAAAGAGAGAATATGATATATTTATAAATATATATATACACACACACAATATACATGTATAATGTATTGATTGCCATGCAACTTTTGTCAGCCAGAGAAACAAAAAGGGTAAAAGAAAAGAGAAGATATTTGTTGCCGATAAGGGATTACATGGTATATTTGGCAGTCCGTACAACTTAAAACGGCCTCCATATGAAGTTAATTAGAGGCTTAGAGAGAACACAGACTGTAGTCTATAGATCCAAATCCAATCCAATCAATCCCCAATATATGTTTGAATCTTTAATTTGATGTGGTCCAACAAGTCACTTGGGTTGGGTTGCTTGGACCACCCTACATTTTTGTCTCTGGTTACTAGTTGATTAAGCTTACTGGGGGGCACTGCTATGGCAACGTCTCGTCCTCATCCCTGTCTGTAAAATTTTCTGGACATTTTCTGGGTTGACAGATTGAGCTTCACACCTTCACCATGACCTCGCTTGTAATGGAAAACAACAAGGGCCTCTTTTTGATTGGTGATGGCCCAAACTGATGCATAACCGGGTTTGGTTCGGTTGTGCTTGGATGGGATAGGGAAACAATGGTAAAACTCAATGTTGGAAATGGGTTAGGTTCATTTGCCATCCTCTTTGGTGCATTGTTTGATTTGATTGGGCTTGGATTGACGGCCTGCTGCAATTGGGAGAACGACAACCGTTTTTTTTTCATGACGATGGGTCTGTCACTTACTATATGTACATGTATGAGTAACTTCCTCTTAACTACTTGAGTCATAAGTCCCTTGCCACGTATATTGTACTTGATTCATTTTTAACAAGTGTTATGAACAACCTTAGTTTCTCTTTTTCCTTTACATTTTTTCTTTAACGAAAACGACAGGAGCACCGTCACATGTATCCTCTAAATTAAGGTTCAATAATCCTATTTCATTAAGATCAAATCCAAGACCAAGACGTATTGTTTAACAAGAAAGGAAAGCACCACACCACACCACTTCCAAGAACTAACCAAGGGCAAATCATTGCCAAGTTTGAAAGAAGCAACTTTAAAAGAGCATCTTCTTGAGCTCTCTCTCTCTCTCCCTCTATATATATATCCTATATGGGGGCGGTATATATATATGTATATATATATATATATATATATATAAAGACTCAGTGAAACAGGAACCAGATCATATCTAAATGAAATTGCATACCTGCACTGCATGAAATCTTATATAGTATATGCTTAACATTTCAACAATTTTTTTGGTTGGATGCAAGCAGCAGCCATATTCTAATTGGGACATGATAGCACACACATCAAAAAACGAACCAGAAATAGAAAGCAAATCCAATCTCCAAGCCATTTTTCTCTTCATATTTCATCCTGCATGTGACAAAATTAAACATTCAAAAAAAGAATTTCCAATAAAGGAGACTCTGAAAGAAAGAGAGAGATAGAGAACCACCTGATCAAATGAAAAATACTGAAAGAAGGGTAACCCAGCAAAAGCCAGTATCTGAGCTATTTTGATTTTCTCTTCTGTTTTGATCATTGAAAATCATTCATTCGTATCAGATGGCTGCTGATGCTGCTGCTGCTGATTGAAGGAAGCTACACCACCTGGCCTCTGCCCTTTGTGCTGGTGAAATTGGGTCAAAGCTTGAGAACTCACCACCCCAATATGACCATCCTGTGAGAGCCCAAGCTCTAAACCTGGAACTTGCTGGTTGCTTCCACTTAGAATTGTGGGAAAACCCATTGACCCCAAATTCATACCAGGAACATCAAACCCATGAAACCCAAACTTATGCTGCATGATGTTCAAGTTTTCACTCCCAAAATTGACTGTTGCCTGACCAGAATTTTGATCAAAGCCAGACCTAACCCCACTGAGAAAGGGCAAGGGCCAAACCCCACTTGCTACATTAGATCTGCCCATATGAAATGCCCAGTTGGCACTGCCTTCAGACCCAACACTTGGTCTTATTAGTCCTTCCATCCTTGTATGCAACCCAGAAGAAACAGAGGAAACAGAGCTCCCCTGTTCAGAAACAGAGGACCCTGCGGCTGCAAGAGCAGAAGCAGGTACAGTTCCAGAGCCAGTGGCAGCTATAATTGATGGCTCAGCTTGCTGCAGCAGCCACTGAATTGTTTCCCCATCAGACTTGTGACCCAATTCTCTGGTCAATTGAAAAACCCTAGCTGCACACAAGGCAGGCATCCGTATTCTTCTCCCTCTACCATCCACCTTTTTGTGCCTGTCCTTGTTGGAGCTCCTCTTGGGCGCCAGGTGCTTCTTGTTTTCATCATCTTTGTTTGCTTTCAGAATCTGCAAGTCCTTGATTTGCGCAGGCTTGTTCTCTGCCATGTCTGCTTTTGTGGGATCAGGCTCAGCTCAGGACCCAAAATGGTGGGCACCTCTTGTTGGGGACGATGATGTAAGCCCTTTGGCTCGGTGAGAGAAGGAAGTTGGGGTGGCGTTTGAAATTTGAAGGCCACTTCTCAAGGCTTGTTCTTTTATTGGCACGCGTAAATTTGCCAATGGGAAATATCTTGAAATTCAATAATTGAAATCGGAAAGTTACAACTCGTACCGCCCCCCTCTCTCTCTCTCTCTCTCTCTCTCTCTCTCTCTCTCTCTCTCACGCTATTTCCTTTTTCTTTTTCTTTTTTCTTCTTCTTCGGTTTCTTGTTACCTGCTCCAAAATATGGGAACATCACATACTATTTCCTCCAAATTTTTAAGTGCTTCATATTTATCTATTTATTTATTTAAAAACTATATATTAAAAATGATGAAATACAAATTACATAAGATTTTTTATATAAGAACATCCTCAATGATATTCGAGGGAACCTCTTACTATGTAAATATACATGATAAAGATAAAGTATAGTGGACTAATCTATGCACCACTGTATTAGTGTCACGACTTACATATTCTACCATACTATGAGACATGTGACTTAAAATATAAAATATTCATATTATAACACATGAGTTAATAATATCACTTACAGATGAACTTTTAACCGTGATAAACGTCAAAAGCTACATTATGCCTTAAGTAAGTTGTGTGGATAGTTAAGGCAGTGAGGCGTCTATTGTGCCTCAAAAGTAGTAACTGATTGGCTAGGCTTGGCTCTCTAAATTCTAATAGAGCCTTTGCATAGTTTCAACTGTTTTTGACACTAAGGAGATTGATAGTAATGGGTCCAAATTGGCATGAAAAAAATGATGAAATGGTCTAAGCGTTTGGTGCAAACAATAATTAAGTAGGCCCCTTTGATTTTTGATTGAATGAGGAATTGCCCCTATTTTCTTTGATCATTTGACAACTCATCACATGAAACGTGGGAGATACAGCCAAAAAACCAAGGACACAAATCATCCAACTTGATGAGCATACATAAAAGAAGACGTGACTTCATAACCATAGCAGATAATGTTTGCAAGAATATTTTATTAGTAAATTTGTAAAGCAAACGAAATTTGCAAAATCTTTTTAAAAACTTGCAAACAAAAGAGTGGATGACTTTGCTTAATGTCTTTATTTTCGTCGACGTTGGTTTCTTTAATGAATGAATTATGAATGGGTAGGTAGGTATGAGATATGCATCTGATTCTTGTGTTATTTTTTCATGTGTTGGCCATCGAGGAGTCAAAAAGGGATCTTTATAAAATTTGCTATTGACAAATCACCCAAATTCTAAAGTTTATGGTGAAATTCTTTCTTTAAAAACGAGTAGGTTTACAGATAAAACCCATTCTTTTGTTCTACTTTTTTTTAAAAAGAAAAAGAAAAAAAAAAGTAGTTTGCTCTTAATTTTCTGACCTTTTTGGCCAAAGACGGAAAGTGAAGGAGAGTGGTTTCATCCCAATGTTCATATATGGTCGTTTTTTTAGATTTTGAGGGTCTTGTGCGAAATTTAAATTGGGGCTTCACATAATCTAATACAAAAATACTATGTAAATTTTTTTTTCCATAACTTAATGTCATAAAACAATTTTTTTTATAACTAAAAGTCACCATCAATAAACATGTAATGACAATAAGAAATCAAATTCATAAAAATTTAAATGTTTCCATTTCATAAAGTTAAATATTAGTATGTTTGATATAAAAACAAGCTTCTTATGCCTCCATAAGATCCCTTGCTACCTCCAATAAGCAATCTGTGTTTAATAGGATAAAAAATTGTCAATCATAAACAAAAGAGTAGTTGCACACAAATGTTATTAACAAATTAGATTATACTACAAACAGAAAAGTAACAACAAAAACATGCTTGACTATCCAAAAATCACTCACATTGTATTTGCTGTCTTTATTTGAAGAATTAAAACTATTATGTGAACTTCCCCCCAATTTTTTTTTAAAAAACACACAGCCAATACAATACTAATGTCTAAAAATTGATCGTCTTGAATTTTTAGAAGAGAAATCATCAATCAAATGATCATAATCAAGTTTTTCTAGAAGTTCACTTTCAATTGAAATCAAAGCTAGTCCATTGAATATTTCTTGCAACATAGTTGATCGCAAGTATGATTTTAACAATTTTAATTTTGAAAAACTTCTTTCTGCAAATGCAACAATAACAGGAATAGTCAATATAATTCTATATGCAATGGATGCATTTGGAAAACTATTTAAACTTTTCAAAAAATCTAATATTGCAGTAGTTGTGATTTTTTCTTTTGGTAAACGCTCCCGTAAAACTTTCAAATCAACAAATAAATCTTCCACACCGACATCAGAAAACTTGTCATTTTTCAAAATGCTTTCCAGATGACTGCAACAAGTCTTCAAATTGTCGTCATCGAATGAATTTAACTTCTTTGAAATAAACAAAAACCCAAAAATATTCTCATACTCTTGATGTTGTTGAAACCTTCTCCGTAAAGAACCAATAGCTTGATCCACTAAATACAAGAAATAATCAATTCTAAACTTTTCTTAAGCTGATTCAGGAACCGATTGGGATGGCTCACAAGCATTCTCATCAAAATATTTTTTTCTATGATTTTTTGCTTCTCACGAAACACCGGGTCAATGGTCTCCTGAATTTGAATTGAGACTTGAATATGACTATTTAATTTTGAGTGGTCTTTATGAATTTAGGAATTAGGGTTTTCTCTTTTTGGTGATGAAATTCCTGAAATTGAAAGAATAACAAAATTTGTCAAAGGATTGAAAAAAGAACCAAAGAGAGATTGATGAATCATGATGATTACTTACCAGAAAATCAAAGTTTAAGGGAAATAAGAAGCCATGAAGTTATGTTTTTGTTTTTATTTTTAAGTTGGGGGGAAGGGGGGATATATATACTGCTGCTAAAGGGATAAGCACTGAAAAGTCAACTCCGCCACATATGCTTTTGTGCTAATATATAACACGCTAAAATATATATACAATTCCTATAATATTAGAGCTTTGAATTAATTAAGGCATGCAAATTTTATGTGTGGTGTAGATAAACAATGTGGGAACTAACATACCAAAACCGACAACGGAGTACACAGCTGAAGATTACACATTTCTTATGAGTACCAATCTTGAATCTGCTTATCACTTGTGCCAACTTGCACATCCTTTGCTCAAAGCTTCAGGAGCCGGTAACATTGTTTTTCTGTCTTCTGTTGCTGGTGTGGTTTCACTGGAGATTGGAACTATATATTCTGCCACTAAAGGTGCCTTGAATGGAAGCTCTCTGTATATATATATATATATATATATATAATATAAAAAAATTTTTTTTTCCGGGGGCTTTGTGCTGTGGTGCCACTTGCACCACTCTAGGGCTGCCCCTATGTTCATACCTACGATTCATGTGATGATTCTTGGCTAGCCTATGGTGTTAAAACATGTCAAAAGATAAACCCTATGGTGTTTGGTTTGCAGGAAATGGAGTCTTGAATGATAAATAATTTATTTTCCTTCGTTTGGTAAGTCTAAATTTGGGAAAATGATTTTCATCTTCCTTTCCCTTGAGAAATTAATTTTAAATAATTGAAAAAAATTTATGCTTTTTTTCCCACGTTTGCATATTTCTAATTTAAGACAAATTTTTTTAAATACAAACGATACATTTTGTTTAGTTTTCCAAATATCCTCTTACAAATTGTTGTTCCCAATTCATGCACAAACAAATATGAAAAAGGAAATCAAATAATATTTTTCAATTACTTTCCCAAACATTATCAAACATAGAAAACGAATCTTCCATTTTCTATTCTCTAAAAAAGGCATAAGAACTGATTTCCATGAATTCATTTTCGCTAACCAGATGCCTAAGAGGGTTTTCGTCTGCTGTGGCCTATGGCCAAAGGCCAAGAGAGAAAAAAAGAAAAAAAGAAAAGAAAAAGTCAACTGCAGGTCGGAACAAATGTGGCTTCAAAATTTGGGCCTCAGTAGATGACCCATTTTCTAATTTCGAACCGGGCTGAGGGTTAATGTACGACAATATAAAAGCCTGCTAATTAAGTTTTATCTAGGGCCTTTGGATGATGCTCTATCTCTTAACCGCTGGATCAAACTAATCAATTTATTCCAAACGGTAAGAAATAGGGCATCATCTATTTCCTTAGATAAGGCATTCACTAGAATTCGAAGCTGATTATTATCGTTAGAATTTGTCATTTGAGTCTCAATCCTGGCATCAATTTTCAGGTTACATTCTCCGTCTGTATTTTGAGAGTAAATTTCTAGAGTTTGTTTGGATTTGCTCTTGTTGCCTTCACTCTGCCACAAGGCATTTGGCTTTCAATGTAAATCGAAGCCTGCACAGTGAAACTCAACTTACTATTAAGCCTCTGTTTCTTAATCAGTGCTAGGAAACAGATTCAAAGTACACTAATTATCAAGTAATTAATTTACACATATATATGCCGGGACTGCATTACTGGAGAAGAAACCTGGAGTGAATTTACTTCAATGTTTCTTCACGTTGACAAAGAGCAGATTTCACAAAAACTCAAGGATAATCCAAGTCCTAGTTCTAATTGCTTGTTAATTAGTAAGACCACACTCCTAATCTACCCGGAACAAATTACAAAGCAAAAATTTCGAAAAAAATTTATTCCATTTCGCTCTGATAGCAATGGAAATGAGGACTTCGCTCAGAGAGTCACTGCTCCACACCAACATCACCCCACCGGACTTTGTACCTTGCTGCAAGATAGTGTGCCCCAACAGGACCCCTACTTCCGTAAGGGTAGTACTCGGGAATAATCTTCTTCTCTTCTATCTCTTTCAATAAGGGTGTGAAGAGTGCCCAAGCAGCATCAAGTTCATCACTCCGAATAAATAGCCTCCTTTCCCCTTCAATAGCATCCAGCAGAAGCCTCTCATAAGCATCCGGAATCTCCTTTGAATATCTACAAATAACATGCCAAACAGATTTGGTTAAACATTTTAGTATTTGTCCAAAACATAAAATAGACAATCATAAAAAATAACCATAAGTAGTGTTGAGTACGGTTTCAATGAACTAGTATCATACAGTAAGAGTCTAATTCTGATATTACAATTAACAATATTTCATAGCAAGTACAAGATTAAACCCTTTGGTCGAATATATATATAACTTCTGAAATTTACCTGGCTGCGTAGTGAAGATTTAGGTTACTCCTGTCCAACCTCATTCCCAAACCAGGGACTTTGTTATTGATCTTCAGCAAAATAGCTTCATCAGGCTGCACTCGGATAACAAGCTCATTTGTCGCTCGATCAAGATCTGTTCCGATATTTCGATTATACAAATTTCCAGGCACATGACGAAACTGTACCCTTATCTCAGCCCTGGAAAAAAAAATTAAAGAAACAACTATGAGTCGAGATATCAAAAACTCAGTAAATAAAACAAGAATTAGGTTATATCCCTAATTGATCACCTCTTATTATGCAATGCTTTCCCAGCTTTCATGAGGAAAGGAACCCCATCCCATCTTGCATTGTCTATGAAGAGGGCAGCTGCAGCAAATGTTGGAGTCAAGCTGTCTTTGGGTACAGTCTTGTCATCCGTGTAGGCTGGGTAAGTAATACCTCCTCTAACATGGCTCTTGTATTGCCCCGTGACCACATTTTCAAGTTGCAATGGCCTCATAGAACGTAAAACTTTAACCTGGCACCGAGCAAGCAATATAAATAAAGGAAAGAGGAAAGTTATAATATATGGTACTAAAGCAGTCTCATTTCAGGTATTTGTAAAACCTTCTCGTTTCTGATATCTTCTGCATCCAAACTGACAGGGGTTTCCATTGCAAAGAGTGCCAGTATCTGAAGCAAGTGATTCTGCATTATATCTCTTATTATCCCATAATTGTCAAAGTACCTACATCCATGGCAAGGAAGAAGGGTTTAGGAAAGATTAGAAATTCATGCCCAACTTCCGACCCCATAAAAGGGTTATGCCTACTTAGGAAAGAAAATTACCCTCCACGTCCTTCAGTGCCAAAATCTTCAGAGAATATTAACTGTACATTTCTTATATACTGCCTTGACCATAAGGGTTCGAAAATAAGGTTGGAGAAGCGGAGAACTGAAAGGTTTTCCACAAGCTCCTTGCCCAGATAGTGGTCTATCCTGTTAACAGAAAAAAGAACCTTATATCAGCTTATGGTCCATAATCATTGCATGATCAAAACCAACCCGGTCCAAAAAAATCTACCTGAATATTTGATCCTCTTCTAGGTACTGCTTGAGGGCCTTGGTCAAAGCCGCAGAGGATTCTGAATCTCGACCAAAGGGTTTCTCAACAATAACCCTGGTCCAGCCGTTACCAGATGAGGCTGACGAGCTAGCACAGCGAACAGCATCTATGAATATGTTTGGAGGGATAGATAGATAGAACAGGCGATGAGGAACTCTTCCCCCCTACACATGCAGTTCCTTGTCAATCTAAATGGAAGTAGGACTAAAATGGAGAAAATAACTAACTTGAATGTCATTGAGATGGACGATAATATAAAGTACACATGAGCAAGTCTGATATGCAAAGGAACTTAAAATTCATCCAAACTCCAAATCTCGAGCAGAATGCAAAGTATAAACATCATATGCACATAGATGTTTAGTTTATAAAGTACACCATATGAACATATAAAGTACCTCATGTTCCTTTAGTTTCTTGTCCAGCTTCGCGAAATCTTCCTGTGAATCATACTGACCAGAATGGTAGAAACATCTTTGAAGAAATTGCTCCATTTTTTCGCCACAATTCTCCCTGAAGTTCCAACAAAACAATATCACATACCAATCAACTCAGCAAAAGAACTGTCAAATACTAGTTAGAGCTTTCAATCAAAGTATACATAACAAAGCAAAGCAACCTCATTTTACAAACAAGAATAAAGCTTGGCTCACCTCTTGTCAATCCTGCAAGTAAGCGTCTTGCTAACCATGTCTCTGAGCTCCGCATCAGTCATCTTACTCCGAGCATAACCGTAAATAGTAAAATGCTGCAACAAAACATCACATTATTTTCCACCGATCAATCCAATATATGGGAATATAGTAAATCAAATGAAAGAAAAACAAAATCCACACCTCAGGGAGGCAACCCTCGTAATAAAGTGCGAAAAGTGCAGGGAATATCTTCTTCTTAGCAAGGTCCCCAGAAGCCCCAACCACAGTGATACTGACAGTTGAGTCTTTTTCATTGACATTAAACCCAGTTATGTCTTTAGATTCCCTGGAAGATGGAGCTGAAAATAACCCATCTTTCAATTTCTCGAAAGGAGTTTCATTCTCAATTGGGTTCACTACTGGCGCCACTGGGCCTACATTAATAAATGACAATAAGTATATAAATAAATCAAAAGGCGGAAGCTCTTAACGCAAGAACAGAACAATCTGATGATTTCTGATGGCATCTAAAATTCAAAGAATTGGTCTAAGGTTGTTAGCAAATCAATAAAATTAAACAACCATAGACTCAGATGCAATCAAGATAAGCTCACAAAAACTGAAGAAGCTAACCGTCTTGCATGTGGACAGCATTTTTCTCCGAAACGGATTGAGATTGCAGAGAAACCTTAGCTGAAACAAAACGTTTCGGAGTGGAAGGCACTGCAATACGTTGCAGGCGTCCGTGTGCAGATGAATAAGAAGGTAAATACGATACTGAAGACGACGACGATGGAGATGAAGACGAAGATGAAGGCGGCAATGGCGAGTAAGTGTGGCAACAATGGGTAGATGGAAGAGTCGACATCTTTCTCTCTCTCTCTTTCTGTTTCTTTTTTTTCGTTTCTTTTGGGTTCAGAACAGAGAGAACAAGTTGGGTTGGGGTTTGGGTTAAGGTCGGAGGAGACGAGGAGTTAAGAAGGGAGAAACTTGGGAAACATCGAAGGGGGTCGGGTTATCAGAGAGGCCCTTTGAGATCTCCGAAAGGATGTTTTGTCTTCTTTCTTTGCCTTGCCAAGTTGCCCAACAAACCAACCACATTACCATATGCAGCTTACAAGGAAGGGACAAGTCTTGTTTCAACTTTGATTCCTCCTTCTAATTAGGTTTTATCATGTAATTAAAATAATTAATCATTCTATCAATTATTATTAAAATGTTAAATAGAAAGTGAATGGCTAAAGCAATGTAGGCCCGAGTCACAATGGACTACTTCCATTAGCCCATTTTGTAATGGTAATGAGCCGAATTTGAATTTTGCTATGAGCTATTGAATAAGTTTAAGGCTTAATATCACAAAACGTTTTTAAGGTTTACGAAACTATCATATTGTATCCTTAATATTTTTCTGTGTCATTTATGGTCCTCAAGGTTAATATGTGTGATCACAAATGGTCCATACTGTTAGGTTTCGTCAAAAGCTCCGTTAGTTTGCTAACGTGGTATATATATATATATATATATATATATTACGAAAACATCCCTGAGATTCACGCAGCTATCACAAATGGATCTTGCGAATTTTTTATTATTTAAAATTCATAAATTATTGGTTTTCTTTTTAAAATTATTTAAAAATATATATTGTATTTTAAATACACGTGACACTATATTTTTTTGAAGTTTTTTTAAAATAATTTAAAATTCATAAAATTTTGGTAAAATTTTCATAAAATTTTGGTTAAGGACCATTTGTGATAGGTGCGTGAACCTCAGGGATGTTTTGTGATATATATATATATATACAGCAGACTAACGAAATTTTTGACGGAACCTAACGGCAGGAACCATATGTGATCACACATGCTTACCTTGAGGACCACGAATGACCAAAAAAAAAAATATATAAAAAAAATAAGGATGCAATCTGATAGTTTTGTAAACCTTAGGGACGTTTTGTCATATTAAGCCTAAGTTTAATAATTAATTATGATTGTTGAAGAAAAATATGAACCTCCCAACATAATTTAACCACCACTAATTAAATAATTAGATTTTATTATTTTAAGTTCGACCCATTTGAGACGTAGTGTCTCTTAATTACAATCCATTGCTTCAAGGGAACACCCTTTGATTCCATAATAAAGAAACAGAACGTGTGTATTTGGTTTTGCAGCTGCCCATAAGTCGAATCTCAGGGTGCCTACGTATCCACTGCGGGAATCAAGCCACTCATAGTTCAAAGAATTGCAATGAATAAATGACTCATTGCGAGAGAAATTTGATTTGAATTGCATTGAAAAGTGTTTGAGTGAATTTAGCTGAATAAATCAGGGATTCGATATGGAATTGTGTTTGGAGGCAAATTTGGACAAGAATAAACCGGGGATTCTGTTTGGATTTAAGATTTGGAAATTAATGGGTAAATGTGGCCCACTAATTAAGATTGTGTCTTCGAGGCAATTTGGAGAGGTTAAAATTTTCATATGTAGATGACCCATGGATTCAAATTTAGTTGCAATTGCGTCTATTGGGGTGCTAAACTGCTTACTTACCGTTGACAAGATCAAACCAACGTAGTTTCAAAAAGATTGTTTAATTTGCATGTTATTGTATCACTCGGGGCTTTGGCGTGGTTTTGTACCACTTGGGATTTGATGTGGTTTTGTATAACTTGAGATTTGGTGTGGTTTTGTACCACTTGAGTCGTCACTCGACCATTTGTTAATTAATGGGACTTTTTTATTTATTTATAATTATTATATAAATTTGAGCCCATTAATCCATAATTACATATTGGAATATGTAAAATAATTAACTGATGCTGGAAACTCCTCGTTTTCTTACAGCTGCTGGAAACTCTTCATCTTCCAACAGTTGTATTGTCTTGGTACTGTAAAAGCCTTTATTAATTCTAACGACTGTAAAAGGCTTGCCTATATATGTAGCATGTTGTACTGATATCTATATGATGAATAAGAATCTCAAACTTCACCGGGGATGTAGGTTCAAAATTGTCAGACCTCGTTAAACTTGTGTTGTTCTATTTTCTTCTTTTTCTATTATTTCTATATGGTATTAGAGCAAGACCTTTGAAAATCATGTCTCTTTGTCTTCTCAATGGGTGATTCTTCTGGGAGAGCTTCTATTTTTTCCGGCGAATCCGATGGGAATCCTAATCTTCGCCTTTGTTCGGTTCTTCTAAATGGATTTAACTATATTCCTTGGTCAAGAGCTGTCAGTTTGGCTCTTGGAGGAAGATTGAAACTTGGCTTCATCAATGGAAATATTCCTGCACCTCCTGTTGATGATACGAAGTATGAGGATTGGTTCTGCAAGGATCAACTTGTCATGTCTTGGTTGCTCAACTCTATGGAGCCTCAAGTTGTTGAGATTTTCAGTTTTTTTTTATTATGTGCAACATCTTTGGATTGCTGTCAAAGAAATGTATGGAAATCAAAATAATGCAGCCATGGTTTTTCAACTAAAGAAGGATATTGTTAGGGTATGTCAAGATGGAAAACCTTTTATTGAACATATGGAAAGCTTAAAGGTATGTGGAATGAGCTAGATCTTTACAGACCACAGACTACTGATTTAGCCATCCTTTTGAAAATGGTTGAAGAGGATAAAATTTTCCAACTCTTGGCAAGTTTGGATGCAGATTATGAAGACTTACGCACTCACATTTTGATGAGTGCTGAAATGCCTTCTTTCAATACTGTTTGTACTACTATTCAATGAGAAAAGGTAAGGAAGAAAGTCATGAACGTAGAAACCTCAGGCGCTGGAAGTTCTGAATCTAAAGCTTTTGTAGTTAGTGCTAAAAAACAAGCAAGAAAAAATTTCAAAGGAAAAAAAGGCAATTTGAAGTGTAGTCATTACGAACAAAAAGGTCACACCAAGGATAGGTGTTGGATTCTCCACCCTCATTTGAAACCAAAATTTGGAAAGGAAGGAAACAGAGAACAAAAACACAGTGCCAATCAAGTTGATGCAAGTGTCTCTAATAATGCTAGAGCAAATCTAGCCTCAAACTCTGCTGCTCTTCTTGGACAGTTTGCTAATTTTCTTCAACAATATGAAAAGTTCTCTACTTCTGATGTCTCAGGTATTGTCAAAGCCTTTGTGACTGCACTTATTTCTAGCACTATGTCAAATGTTTGGATTATAGATTCGGGAGCCACCGATCACATGATGAATAAAAAACAGTATCTTTGTGATTTTAAGAATTTCACTAAGGCTCACTCTGCCGCTGTAGCTAATGGTACTGATGTCTTAGTTATGGGCCAAGGGAAGGTTAAATTTCTTGGTACAGATGTTGAGTCTACTGCCTTATATGTGCCATAGTTCCCTTTTCAGTTATTGTTAGTAGGAAGACTAACAAATTCCTTAAACTATGATGCCATTTTTTCTCCTTTTAATGTGATTTTTCAGGATCGAATTACCAAGAAGAAGATTGGTGAAGGTGTTTACTCAAATGGATTGTATATTCTTCATCATTTTCCTAACAACTCAAGAAGGCTCCAAGTCAATTCTCTCCCAAATCGTGTTTTGTGAAGCTTATTTCCAGCACTAGATAAGGCATCCTAAGATTGTGAGATTTGTCATTTTTCAAAATAGACACGTCTACCATTTAGTCATTCATTGTCAAAAACCACCAGACCTTCTGAGATTGTTCACTCAGATGTATGGGGGCCAGAACCCTTAGAATCTTTTGATGGCTTTAAATATTTTATTATCTTTGTCGATGATTTCTCTCGAGCTACTTGGTTATATCTATTGAAATCAAAGAGTGAGGTTGCTTCTGTCTTCAAAGAGTTTCATCGGCTTATAATGAATCAATTTTCAGCCCAGCTTTAAGTTTTGAGATCTGACAATGGTGAATTTATGAATAGTACCCTTTCACAATACTTAAGTTCGTATGGTGTAATTCATCAGACAAGTTGCGTTGGCACACCCCAACAAAATAGGGTGGCAGAGAGGAAAAATTGTGATCTCTTTGAAATGCGGTCGCTCATGCTGCAAATAAATGTTCCTAAGAAGTTTTGGTCTCGGGGAGTTCTTACGGCAGCCTATGTGATCAATAGGCTTCCAAGTAGAGTTCTTAACTACAAATCTCCTCCTGAAGTTCTCAAAGGAAGGAAAATTGATCTTTCCCCCCTTCGTATCTTTGGCTGTGTTTGTTTTGTTCATATTCAAGGATTACATCGAGATAAATTTGACTCAAGGGAAGCTAAGTGTGTTTTTATGGGTTATTCTTCAACACAAAAAGGGTATAAATGCTATGATTCAAGAACCCGAAAGATCATTATATCTTGTGATGTTCTGTTTGATGAAACATGTTCCTTCTTTGATAAATTCTATGGAAATAATAGTCAGGGGGAGAGCTTTCTTGATCAAGTGCCTTTGTTAATTGTAGAAACCATTGATGATCATAGTCCTACAAGTATTCCTTGTTCTCGAGATATAACTTCCATCAACGAAGGAACACCTTCCAACAACGAAGGTACTCCTTTCGACAGTGTTCAAATTGAGCTTATTTCTACTCTTCCTTCTCTAATTGCACCACGAAGAAATCCAAGTCGAGCGCGGAATCCCTCACCAAAATTCAAGGACTATGTTAGTTGTGCCACTCGATATCCAGTTGAAAGGTATATTACCTACGCTAACGTGCCTCGATCCCATGCCGTCTTTCTAAGCAAAATTTCCAACTCTTGTGAACCCAGCTCTTTTCAAGAGGCAAAAACCCAATTGATTTGGCAAAAAGGAATGAGAGAAAAACTTAAAGCTCTTGATGAAAATCAAACCTGGAGTATTGTTAAGTTGCCTAAAGGAAAGAAAGTGGTTGGTTGCAAATGGGTTTATAAGACCAAGTTTAACAACGATGGATCCATTGAGAGACACAAGGCAAGGCTAGTGGCTAAGGGGCTTACTCAAACTTTTGGATAGACTACAAGGAAACTTTTGTTCCTGTAGCAAAGATGAACACAGTAAGAGTTCTCTTATCTGTTGCTGTCAATAATGATTGGCCTTTATTTCAAATGGATGTGAAGAATGCCTTTTTGCATGGAGAATTAGAAGAGGAAGTTTACATAAGCTTGCCACCTGGTCATCCTCAAGAA